CCCCATAGGACCACCTGTTAGAGGCTTTGTGCAAGCCAGGCCGTACTTGCTAGATAAGTGCTCTAGCACTTGAGCCACCTCCTGCTCTCTTGCTTTTAGATTTTTTTCTTCCCTCAGATAGCACCTCACACTTCTTTCTATAAAGTACAAGGCCTTATAAATGGCGCTGTGGCTCAAGTGGTACAATGCTAGCTATCCTTGAGCATAAAAGCACAGGGACAATGCCCAGACCCTGATTTCAAGTTGCAGGAGCAGCACACACAAAAAAATGTGAAGCCATGAGTTCAAGCCCCAATAGTGCTCACGCTCTCTCTCTCTCTCTCTCTCTCTCTCTCTCTCTCTCTCACACACACACAGAGGCAAACACACACACACAGAGGCACACACACACCCATGTACACACATACACACTCATAATAATAATCAAGTGCAAGGCCCTGAGTTCACAACCCCAATAACTAACCCCCCATACCCATGTTCTACCACTTGAACCATACCTCCAGCCCTTGTTTGCTTTCCTCATTTTTCTAATAATGTCTAGCTTTTTGCCCAGGCTGACCTGGCCTATAATGCTCCTATCTACACTTCCTATGTAGCTGAAATGTCAAGCTACTACAGCACCATGCCTAGCTTTTTACTGACTGAGACAAGGTCTCTCTCTCTACCATTCTGCCTCCACTGGCTTCACACCGTGAGCCTCCCAATCTCAACCTCCTACGTAGCTACGATGACAAGTGTGAGCCACTGTGCTTGGCTTATTTTATGCAATTAATATCTACTAATTTAAAAACAAACCTCTACCTCATAGAAAACTTAATTCAAAGTAGAGCATATATCTAAATTAAAAACTGCAGGGACTGGGGATGTGGCTTAGTGGTAGAGTGCTTGCCTAGCATGCATGAAGCCCTGGTTTGATTCCTTAGCACCACATAAACAGAAAAAAACAGAAGTGGTGCTGTGGCACAAGTGGTAGAGTGCTAGCCTTGAGCAAAAGAAGCTCAGGACAGTGCCATGGCCCTGAGTTCAAGCCCCAGGACTGGCAAAACACACACACACACACACACACACACACACACATTCATAAAAACTTCAAGGCTTTGAAAAATTCAGGAGAAATTCTTCATTACTTGGAGATTCTACAAGATTCTTCAGCCTGACACCACAAAGTTTTTCCTTAAGAAAATAAAAATGTAGGGGCTGGGAAGGTGGCTCAGTGGTAGAGTGCTTGCCTTGCATGCCTGAGGCCCTGGGTTCGATTCCTCAGCACCACAGAAGCAAAAAGAAAAAAGCCGGAAGTGGCGCTGTGGCTCAAGTGGTAGAGTGCTAGCCTTGAGCTGAAGAGCTGAGGGACAGCGCCCAGGCCCAGAGTTCAGGCCCCATAACCGGACCCAAAAAAAAAAAAAAAAAAGAAAAGAAAAGAAAAATGGAGCCGGGCGCTGGTGGCTCACACCTGTAATCCTAGCTACTCAGGAGGCTGAGATCTGAGGATCACGGTTCAAAGCCAGCCCGGGCAGGAGAGACTGTGAGACTCCTATCTCCAATAAACCACCAGAAAACCGGAAGTGGCGCTGTAGCTCAAGTGGTAAAGCGCTTGCCTTGAGCTGAAGAGCTGAGGGACAGCGCCCAGGCCCAGAGTTCAAGCCCCACGACCGACAAAAAAGAAAAGAAAAGAAAAGAAAAATGTTCAGTATTTGCATCTCCATTAGGAAGATGCAAATTACAACAAAATGGAGTCAGGCAAGGTGGCTCACGCCTATAATCCTAGCTACTCAGGAGGTTGAGATCTGAAGATCGCAGTTCAAAGCCAGCCCGGGTAGGAAAGTCTATGAGACTCTTACCTCTAATAAACCACCAGAAAACAGGAAGTGGTGCTGTGGCTCAAGTGATAAAGTGCTTGCCTTGAGCTGAAAAGTACAGGGACAATGCCCAGGCTCAGAGTTCGAGCCTCACAACTGACAAAAACAAAAACAAAAACCCCACAGTGGAGCTAGGTGCTGGTAGCCCATGCCTGTAATCCAAACTACTCAGAAGGATGAGATCTAAGAACCATGGTTTGAAACTAGCCCAGGCAGAAGTTTGTGAGACTCTTACCTCAAATTAACCACCAAATGTCCAATGTAGAGCTCTGGCTCAAGTGATAAAGTATCAGTCTTGAGCAAAAAAGTCAAATCATAGTGCAAGGCCCTGAGTTCAAGCCTCCAGTATCAACATACTGGGCCTAATTCATCTTATATTATATTGCACACAACACATAAGCACACACACTTTTGCCAGTACATTTTGGTTATCTTTGTCCATCTTGTATGGATACTTTCTCTTTCCAACCACTGTACATCAGTCAATGTACAGAGTTCAAAAATAAATAAGGGCTGGGAAGGTGGCTCAGTGGTAGAGCGCTTGCCTTGCATGCATAAGGCCATGGGTTCAATTCCTCAGCACCACATAAGCAGAAAAAAAAGAGCTAGAATTGGCGCTGTGGCTCAAGTGGTACAGCGCTAGCCTTGAGCTGAAGAGCTGAGGGACAGCACCAGGTCCAGAGTTCAGGCCCATGACCGGACCCAAAAAATAAAAATAAATAATACCAAGTCTACAATTAAAACAAATCTGGAGCCAGCTGCCAGTAGCTCACCTATAATCTTAGCTACTCAGGCAACTGAGATCTGAGGATAGCGGTTCAAAGCCAACATGGGCAGGAAAGTCCATGAGACTCTTATCTCCAATAAACCACCAGAAAACCAGAAATAGTGCTATAGCTCAGGTGGTAGAGTGCTAGCTTGAGCTGAAGAGCTCAGGGGCAGTGCCCAGGCCCAGAGTTCAAGCCCCACAACCAACATCAACAAAAAAAAATCTGGAAAAGATAAAAAAAAAAAACAAAAAAACAAGAAAGATGAAAGTGGTACAGGTGGTAGAGTGCTTGTGTAACCAGAAAACAAACTTAGTTCAAATCCTAGGGTTACTTAAAAAAAAAAAAAAAGCAACAAGCTGGGACCTATGGCTCATGCCTGTAATCCTAACTACTCAGAAGGCTGAGATCTGAAGTTCACAGTTTATAGTCTGCTTGGGCAGTAAAGTCTAGGAGACTCTTACCTCCCATTAAGTAGCAAAATGCTGGAAATGGTGGTGTAGCTCAAGTGATAGAGCACCAGCATTGAGGGAAGAAGCCAAGCAGAGTTCAAGGTTCTGAGTTCAAGCCCCAACATCAATGGTACTGGACCTAATTCATCTAAGTTATAATTTCCTGCCTTTTCTATAACCAGCACACATTACCAGACACTTCTAGAACACTGTGTTGTTTCCAAGGGATTAGACTCTTGAGTTAACACTCTTTTTTTTTTTTTTTCTGGTCATGGGGCGTCAATTCTGGACCTGGGCACTGTCCCTGAGCTCTTTAGCTCTACCACTTGAACCACAGCACCACTTCTGGTTTTCTGGTGGTTCATTGGAGATAAGTCTCACGGACTTTCCTGCCTGGGCTGGCTTTGAACCATGATCCTCCGACCGCAGCCTCCTGAGTAGGTAGGACACAGGCATGAGCCATCGGCGCCTGGCTTTTTTTTTTTTTTTTTTTGCCAGTCCTGGGGTTTGAACTCAGGGTCTGCTGGGCACTGTCCCTGAGCTTCTTTTGCTCAAGGCTAGCACTCTATCACTTGAGCCACAGTGCTACTTCTGGCTTTTTCTGTTTTTGTGGTACTGAGGAATTGAACCCAGGGCTTCATGTATGCTAGGCAAGCACTCTATCACTAAGCCACATTCTCAGCCCCAAGCTAACACTCTTTTTTTTTTTTTTTTTGGGTCCGGTCGTGAGGCCTGAACTCTGGGCCTGGGCGCTGTCCCTCAGCTCTTCAGCTCAAGGCTAGCACTCTACCACTTGAGCCACAGCGCCACTTCCGGCTTTTTATTTTTTGCTTATGTGGTGCTAAGGGCCTCATGCATGCAAGGCAAGGGCTCTACCACTGAGCCACCTTCCTAGCCCAAGCTAACACTCTTTGTCAACTGAATTTACACCACTCCATGGCAGAACACAATGGTCTTCTCCATTTGGAATTAAGCCATGTAATGGGGAGATAGTGACATGAGGATTCTTGTATTTTTTAAACCCTTGACAAAACTAGCAAAGCCAATTTTCAAGTACATAATTCAGAGAAACTTTCTCTAGTGTGTGTCCAAGGTGAAACTTGAACTCAGGGCCTTGTGCTCTTGTTTAATTTTTTCCATGAAGGCTAGTGCACTTCCACTTGAGACACAGCTCTACTTCCAGCTTTTTGCTGGTAAATTAGAGATAAGAGTCCCTCAGATTTGTCTATCTGAACTAGATTTGAACTGGGATCCTCAGATCTCAGCCTCCTAAGTAGCAGGGCATGAGCCACACCTGTCCATAAAAACTTTCTTTAAAAATATTTTTTTGGGCTGGGAAGGTAGCTCAGTGGTAGAGTGCTTGCCTCACATGCATGAGGCCCTGGGTTCGATTCCTCAGCACCACATAAGCAGAAAAAGCCGGAAGTGGTGCTGTGGCTCAAGTGGTAGAGTGCTAGCCTTGAGCTGAAGAGCTGAGGGACAGTGCCCAGGCCCAGAGTTCAGGCCCTACGACCAGCACGCCAGTGGCTTAAGCCTGTAATCCTAGCTATTCAGAAAGTTGAGATCTGAGGATTGTGGTTTGAGGCCAATCCAGGCAGCAAAGTCTGTAAATCTCTTGCCTACAATTAAGTGCCAAAAAGTCAGAAGTGGAGCTGTGACTCAAGTGCTAGAGCACTGGCCTTGAGCAAAAAGCTCAGGTGCAGCACCCAGGTGCTGAGTTCAAACCCCAGGACGACCCCATCCCATTCCCTGAAAAAAAAAAGAGAGAGAAGGAAAAGCTCATCACACACACACATCATCATTTCTCTAAAAAGGTAGAAAAGTCAGGGCTTTCTAAGGTCAGCCACCTATGCACACCTGTCTCCTAGAGAGAACACATGACTTCATTCTGTCTCTAAGCAGGTGACTGGAACTGCTCCCCTCACCTCCTTCAGATCCTGCAGGAGAGCCGTGAGCCTCTCGTTCTCCGCCTGGACATTGGTGACCACAGCCCGGCTCTGCTTCAGCTCGTTCTGCATCTCCAAAATCTTGCCCAGGTAGTAGGCTTCCTTCGAGGCTGACTCCTGCAGCAGCGTCTCCTCTCGGCTCTCTCCATCCTCGGCCACTTTCCGGTGGATGGAGTAGGACTGCCCGAATGCCTGCAGTGTTCGGGAAGAAAGAGGGAGACAATGAAGTGCATCGCAAAACTACAAACAGGCATGGGAATTTATTTATTTTTTTGGTCAGTCGTGGAGCTTGAACTCAGGGCCTGGGTGCTCTCTCATCTCTTCTGCTCAAGACTAGCACTCTACCACTTTGAGTCACAGTCCCAATTTCCAGTTTTCTGGTGGTTAATGGGAGGAAAGAGTCTCACTGACTTTCCTGCTAAGGCTGGCTTTGAACCTAAATCCTCAGATCTCAGCCTCCTGAGTAGCTAGAATTATTGGCATGAATCACTTGACTTTTCTTTGATTATTTTTTGTTTGTTTGTTTGCTGGCCATGGACTTTGAACTCACGGCTCTGTTCCTGAGCCTCTCTATGTTCAAGGTTGGAGCTCTACCACTTGAGCCACAGCGCCACTTCCAGCTTTTTCTCTTTATGTGGTACTGAGGAATCAAACCCAGGGCTTCATGCATGCTAGGCAAGCACTCTACCACTTTGCCACATTCCTAGCCTTTCCTTTATTTTTCATTTGTATATGTGTATGTGTACAATACTGGGGCTTGAACTTAGGGCCTGGGCATTATCCTTGAGCTTTTTATTTATTTATTTAGGGTCCGGTCATGGGGCCTGAACTCTGGGCCTGGGCACTGTCCCTCAGCTCTTCAGCTGAAGGCTAGCGCTCTACCACTTGAGCTACAGCGCCATTTCCGGCTTTTTTTTTTTTTTTTTTTTGCTTATGTGGTGCTGAGGAATCAAACCCAGGGCCTTGAGCATGCAAGGCAAGCGCTCTACCACTGAGCCACCTTCCCAGCCCTATCCTTGAGCTTTTTTGATCAAGGCTATGGCTCTCTACTATTTGAACCACACTTCTACTTTCATCTTTTTTGCTGGTTATTTGGAGATCAGAGCCTCATGGATTTGTCTGCCCAAGCTGGCTTTAAACTTCTGGTTTTCAGGTGGTTAATTGGAGATAAGAGTCTCACAGACTTTTCTGCCTGGGCTGGCTTTGAACACAATCCTCAGATCTCAGCCTCTTGAGTATCAGCTAAGATTACAGGCGTAAGCCAGGGTCTTCTGGCTCTTCCACTTAATTTTTTTAAATTATATTTAAATTGTTGTACAAGGGGTTTTTCAATTCAAATTATCAATTTATAAATAAAATGCACTTTTTTGAAACTTTGAAACTTTCTTCAACTATCTTTAGATAGGGATTGGTGGCTCATGCCTGTAATCCTAGCTGGTAAGGAAATCTGAGGAACAGAGTTCAAAGTCAGCTTGGGCTGTGAGATTCTTTTTTTTGTTTTGTTTTGTTTTTGTTGTTGTTTTTTTTTTGGGGGGGGGTCCGGTTGTGGGGCCTGAATTCTGGGCCTGAGCGCTGTCCCTCAGCTCTTCAGCTCAAGGCTAGTGCTCTACCACTTGAGCCACAGCACCACTTCCGGCTTTTTTCTTTTTGCTTCTGTGGTGCTGAGGAATCGAACCCAGGGCCTCAGGCATGCAAGGCAAGCACTCTACCACTGAGCCACCTTCCCAGCCCCAGGCTGTGAGATTCTTATCTCCAACTAACTACCAAAAAGCCAAAAGTAAAGCTGTGACTCAAGTGGTAACCTTGAGCAGAAAACTTCAGGGATAGTGTCAATGTCCAAGGAATGGTACAAAAAAAGAAAAGGCGGGTGGCTCACTCCTGCAATCCTAGCTACTCAGGAGGCTGAGATCTGAGGACTGCAGTTCAAGCCAGCCCAGGCAGGAAAGTCCAAGAGACTCTTATCTCCAATTAAACATCAGAAAACCACAAGTGGCACTATGGATCAAATAGTAGAGCACTAGCCTTGAGCTGAAGAGCTCAGGGACAGCACCCAGGCCCACAGTTCAAGCCCCATGACTGACCAAAAAAAAAAAAAAAGAAGAGTAGAATTTTAGATTCCTTTAGTGTTTCATCCATCACGTCATTTGGTTTTTAAGCACTTGGTCATAAGAAAACAAACTCAAAATGTGTTTTACCTATTTTAAGTAGGGATCAATATTTTTCTGTCAGGTTCAATAGTTAAGATAGAGTGGCTATAAACATATCAACAAGGCAATGTTTCTAACTTTGTGAGATATTCTTCATCAAGAAATTGATACTCGGGGCTGGGAAGATGGCTCAGTGGTAGAGCGCTTGCCTTGCATGCATGAGGTCCTGGGTTCGATTCCTCAGCACCACATAAACAAAAAGAAAAAAGCCGGAAGTGGCACTGTGGCTCAAGTGGTAGAGTGCTAGCCTTGAGCTGAAGAGCTGAGGGCCAGTGTTCAGGCCCCACAACTGGACCCCCTCCCCCCCCCCAAAAAAAAAAAAAAAAAAGAAATTGATACTCATTGATTTAAAACATGCGTAGAATTGGGGACAGTACAAAGGACATCAAACCTTGCTCAAAATGGGTTCTCCCATAGAACAGCTTCATTACTTGAGATGAGGCTGTAGCTTCTACATAGAGTCAAATCATCAGTTCACCCAGAGAAATGCCAAGCAGAGACCACCTTCCCCCCTTCCCCCCAAAAAAAGATTATTCACATTTCAGTGGCCTTTAAAGAACAATGAAATTGGGTGCTGGTTGTGCATGCCTCTAATCTAGCTACTCAGGAAGCTGAGATATGAGGATCATGATTCAAAGTCATCCCAGTCAGGAAAGTCCATGAGACTCTTATCTCTAATTAACCAGTATAAAGCCAGGGTAGAGGCATGGCTCAAGTGGTACAGTGCCAGCTATAAACAAATAATCTCAAGATGAGGCCCCTGAATTCAAGTCTCAAAACCATCAAAAAAAATTTTAAAAAGGAGAAGAATCACTAGCAAGAAAACAACTGTATAGTTATATTTTTGTAAGAAAACAACACATGAAAAAAATAAAAGGAGCAAAGAAGGCAAAACTATTTGCAACACAGTGATAAAATCCCTAGAACACAAAGATTGCCTATAAACAAGGGAAACAATAAACTACCCAAAAAGGAAAAAATGTGATGATGTTTCATTTCTGCCATAAAAAAAGATGAAAGTATGTTCAAGATTATTATGGGAAGGCTATTTTAGAAACTATATGAAAAGTAGAAAATATTTTCGTTCTTTTTCTTTTGTGTGTGACGGGGGGGGGGGGGGGGGGCCGGGGGGGTGATGCGGGGGGATCTGAAGCTTGAATTCAGAGCCTGGGCACTGTTCCTGAGCTTTTTTGCTCAAGCTAGTGATCTACCACTTGAACCACAGCTCTGCTTCCAGTTTTTTGCTAGTTAAATGGAACTAAGAGTCTCACAGACTTTCCTGTCCAGGCTGGCTTTGAGCATGTTTAGATCTCAGCCTCCTAAATAGCTAGCAAGCGTGAGCTACCAGTGCCCAGATTTTCCTTTATTTCTTTAGTCCAAAATCTTAGTAAGAAATCACTTATGGAATAAGAAAACCCTAAAAAGTTCACATTCATTTATCCAGGCCAATATTTCTTGCAAGTAAATAGTCAAAAAAAACCAACATATGTTTTGAAGAAAACTGTCAGCTGGCTAGGTACTAGTAATTCACACCTGCAATCCTAGGTACTCAGGAGGATCGTGGTTCAAAGCCAGGCCAGGCAGGACACTATTAACTCCAATTAACCACCAAAAAGACAGAAGTGGAGCTGTGGTTCAAGTGATAAAATGCTAACCTTGGGAGAAAAACCTTAGGGACAGTGCCCAGGCCCCGAGTTCAAGCCCCAAATCAACGAATTTGAGTACATTTATTGAAAATTTCATAAATGGAGGATGTTTACTGAAACTCTGTTTATCTGAAAGACCATTGGTCTGTTATAAATAGGGTCTCTCTTAATCTTGGAAGTGTTTGCGTTGGGTGTAGAAATTGCATGCATATGGTATCCACACATTCTTAGCTGTTTAGCAACATCCCTGGCCCCTATCTCTACATGCCAGCAATAGCCACACCAGAAAACCAGCAAACATCTTTCTGGTTGAGAATCACCTGCCTAGACAATCTCTACTGTCACTTCAAATGATAAAATCAGTGATCTGCTAATCCCTGTTGAAAATGTGAATACCTCAGCCTCCTACTGGTACTCACTCCTGTAATCCTAGCTACTCAGGAGGCTGAGATCTGAGGATTGTGTGGTTCAAAGCCAGCCTAGGCAGGAAAGTCTGCACAACTCTTATTTCCAATTAACTATCAAAAAGCTGGAAGTAGAGCTGTAGTTCAAGTGGTAGAGTGCCAACCTGGAACAAAAAAAAAAAATGCTCGTGGACAGGGCCCAGACCCAGAGTTCCAAGTCCCAGGATTGGAAAGAAAGGAAAGAAAGGGAGAGGGAGAGGGAGAGGGAGAGGGAGAGGGAGAGGGAAGAAGGGAGGAAGGGAGGAAGAGAGGAAGGGAGGAAGAGATGAAGAAAGGAAGGGAAGGAGGGAGGTAGGGAGGGAGGCAAGGAGGGAGGGAGGGAGGGAGATCAAGCCCTTTTGCCAAATGTTGCTTATATAATCATATGTTGGCCTACTTAGGGACTAACTGTTCAATAGGTAAAGCTACACCTTGCCTGCGCGCATGCAAGGTATAAGTTCTGAAACTCTTGAAGAGCAGAGTAGAATCTGAGGAACTAAGTCCTGGATATTCCTGGGAGAAGTACGGAAGCAGATCACCATACACAAGTGATGTTTAGACAATGTCTCAAGAAGCTTTTGTTCATAAGCTGCTTAGACAGCTTTTATTTTTTGAATGTATATCCTGCCTTATTACCAAAAAAGACATCTGCTGTAGCATGCAGAGAAATATATGTAATGAAATGGAGAGGAAATCAGAAAAAATAGGAGAAAATAGTTAAGGAGCAGGGAAAAACAAATATTAAAATTCTGAAAGTCAATACTGTGTGTGTGTGTGTGTGTGTGTGTGTGTGTGTGTGTGTGTTGATGAGACTAAAACAGCTTAAAAATTTAGGAAGTCTAAGAAAAAGCTGAAAAAAAAAATGATCTAATTTCTACTGTCAGAGGAGGAGAGTT